AAATCATGGAGGAAGATTCTGAAGGTACAAATTCTATCGCATATGTTAATATGTTATATATGAAGTAACTAATTAGTTTTGAAAGCATACATATCATTAGTTTAAATGTTTCAAAACATTACACAGAGACTTATGCAAGAAGGGGTAGAAATACTGTAGCTATGCGGGAACACTACTGTTACAAGTTCCAGATCCGTTCAAACGATAATGTCATTCTATTGGGGGGAAGATTACTACAACAATTAGTGGTAGATACATACATCAAGATCGAGACTTCACGTTTGCGTTTCTGTGAACTTAACCAAACCAAGATAAGAGCAGATTTATATCAAGGCATTGTGGATTGCGTTAATGCCGRTGAAGTTCAACCAAGTAGAGTTGGACAACGATTTGTGTTGCCTGCAAGTTTTATAGGAGGCCCACGTGACATGCGACGACGATTTTTGGATGCTATGACTTTAGTTCAAGATGACGTGAAACCCGATATATTCCTTACAATGACGTGTAATCCAAAATGGCCAGAAATCCTTAAAGAGCTATTGCCCGGTCAGACTGCACAAGATCGACCGGACCTTGTTGCAAGAATTTTTCGTGCCAAATTAGAGGATCTCAAGGACCAACTCTTCCAAAAGAAGATCCTCGGCACTGTCAAGGCATATGTTTATGTCATCGAGTTTCAGAAGCGTGGATTGCTGCATGCACATTTCCTCATGATAATGAGACCTGATGAAAAAATGACCAATCCAGATCATTACGACAAGATTGTATGTGCTGAAATTCCTGATCCGACAAAGTATCCTGAAATGCACCAGTTGGTTGTCCAACACATGATGCATGGTCCTTGCGATCATTTACGACCGTCCAGTCCTTGCATGCAAGGTGAGCCGAAAATCTGTCATTTTAGATATCCTAGACAATTTAACGATAAGACATCACAGGCTGAGAACTCATATCCATTGTACCGGACGAGAAATATTGGAAGAGATGTGAATGTACGAGGTAATACACTGGATAATAGATGGGTTGTCCCGTATAACCCAAAATTGTTAATGATGTTCAACTGTCATATTAATGTTGAGGCTTGCTCAAGTATAAATATGTGAAATATCTCTTCAAATATATTTACAAGGGTCATGATAAAAAGTTATGCATATAGATCCAGACGAAGGACAGAGTGTCATTAATGAGATTAAAAGGTTTCAAGATGCGCGTTATGTCTCCCCCCTGGAGGCAATGTGGCGGATTTTTAGCTTTGCGCTTTCTCAAATTCAACCTTATGTGATGGCTTTGCAAATCCATCTCCCTAATAGGCAGATGGTTAGGTTCAGAGATGATGATATAATGACAGATATTGTTGCTAGAGAGAGTGGTAAACGAACAATGATGACTGCATTTTTCGACAGAAATAAAGAAGACGAGAGTGCAAGACAACATTTATATAAAGACTTTCCAAAACATTACACATGGAATGTGAGCGCACGTCGTTGGAATCAGAGAAAACAAGGATTAATGATAGGACGATTGGTTTATGCTAATCCCGCCGAAGGAGAGCGGTACTACCTACGCCTACTTTTATCTCATATTAGTGGGCCTACATCTTTTAAAGATCTATTCACAGTCAATGGCATATTATAACCGACATTCCGGAAAGCAGCACTTGAGAGAGGCTTAATAGAGACAGACGATAACTTATCACAATGTCTTGCAGAGGCTTCTTTATTTCAGTTTCCCAARGCTCTGAGGAGGCTATTTGCGACAATATTAATTTATTGTGAGCCAGGAGATGTTTGCAAGTTGTGGGATCAGCATTACGATTAACTTTCAGAGGATTATAGACGACAATGCGAAAGTGTTGACCGAGTTCGGAATATGGTCCTAACTGACATCACAAGCTTTCTACAATCTATGGGTAAAAATCTTGATGATTTCGATCTTCCAAAGATAAATGTAGATACTAACTTACATTTTGGAAGTTTTCGTGAGGTACAAGAGGAATACTCCATAGTTGTGGAAGACGAACATTTACGTGCCCGAGAATCCCTTAATTTCGACCAAAAATACGCATATGATGATATCATGAAGCACGTAGACGATGATCGTTCAGGAGTATTCTTCATAGATGGTCCAAGGGGGACTGGAAAAACGTATTTGTACAAAGCATTGCTTGCCAACATTCGTTCTCGTGGTCTCATTGCTCTTGCCACTGCTTCTTCAGGTGTTGCAGCTAGTAATATGCCTGGAGGGAGAACAGCTCACTCCCAATTTAAAATTCCCCTTAATCTTGATAACAACTCCATGTGCAACCTAAAAAAACAAAGCGGGACTGCTAAATTGCTATGGGATGCAAAGATAATCATTTGGGACGAAGTGTCAATGGCTAAGAGGCAGGCGGTGGAGGCGCTTGATCGAACAATGCAAGACATCACAGGGGTGACACTACCATTCGGTGGAAAAATAATGGTTATGGGAGGTGAGTTTAGACAGGTGTTACTGGTCATAAGACGTGGAACCCGAGCACAGATCGTAGATTCAAGCCTACGAATGTCACCTCTTTGGTCTTCAATTAAAAAAATACATTTAACTCTCAATATGAGAGCACGAAGTGATCCATGGTTTTCAGATTTTCTATTACGAGTGGGTGATGGAGATGAAGAAATGATGGAAGAAAGCTTTATACGTATTCCCGATGACATGGCCATTGCCTATACTAATAAAGATAAATCAAAGCATGATTTGATTGACGCAATATTTCCATCTCTGCAAATCAACGGAGCAGATTCAAACTATATTATTTCGAGGGCGATATTTTCAACAAAAAATGAAAATGTCGATGAAATTAATGATCAGTTGATTGATAGATTCTGCGGCGATGAAAAAGTTTACTACAGTTTTGATGAAGCAGAAGATGACAGAAATAACTTTTATCCAATGGAGTTCTTAAACTCGCTGACTATCAGTGGTTTGCCCCCGCATTACCTCCGGCTCAAAATTGGATGCCCAATATACTATTGCGGAATATCGATCCCTCTAATGGCTTATGTAATGGAATGAGATTGATATGTAGAGGTTTTCAACAGAACGTAATCGATGCAGAAATAACTGTTGGTCAGCATGCTGGAAAGAGAGTATGTTTGCCGAAAATTCCTCTTTGTCCATCTGAAGATAACATGTTCCCCTTCAAATTGAAGAGAAAACAGTTTCCAGTCCGTCTTAGCTTTTCTATGACAATCAATAAAGCTCAAGGACAGACCATTCCTAATGTAGGTGTGTATCTACCGGAATCAGTATTCTCTCACGGACAACTTTATGTGGCGTTATCAAGAGGGACATCACGTGAAAATACAAAGGTATTAGTAAATCCTGCCAAAAAATTCAATCATGACGGAGTCTACACATCAAACGTGGTGTATCAAGAAGTTTTACGCGATTAATAAGGTACAAACGAGTACTTACTATTACACATTTTTTATAACTACGCTTGATATCTATACTATATTATAATCATAAGACATTTCTTATAGGGTATATCTACATATGAATGCTTCAAGTGGTATATTCTCATACTCTGTATGTGTCGATTTATATTATTTTAGATGATTATATCTCTGTTTTGTTTAAACATGATTTTTGTTTTTTTTTGTTGTTGATCTTGAGTTGCATTAAGTGAAAATCATAATTAAACAATCTAAGAATAACAATTGATGTGTGTTTGGAAATCCGTTAATCGTGCAATTCTCTTTTCAAATCTTCGGTCAATCAACCGTAATAAAATTTGAAGTATATAATGATCATAAACGTCATACCTTCGATTTACAAAAAACATTCGCATCCCGCCGCATTGCGCGGGTATACAATTAGTCTACTAAAAACGATCTAGAAAGCCTCGATTTTAAGAAATCTTCAAGAGATTTTTTTGATTTTGATTGTGAAAAGCCAAAAATAATTGTGGTTAAGAAAATGCAAGTTCCAAAAATCCCAATGAATCCTGACTTCACATATATGTGCGTAAAAGCTAAAACTTCTTTAGAACTAGAAAAGGAAAACCTGAATAAAGTCAAACCTACCAAAGATACTTCACAAAGCCAGACCCCTCTCTCTAAAGTCATAAAGTTCACTCCTAAACAGAAACAAAAGTGGCCTGCTTCTGAAAACTCTAACATTCATATTTTCTCTCATTCAGCTAAAGGGAAGAAGGTCCATCAACCCCTTAGAAAGGAAGTGAAACCCAAGCCTGCTCCTCCAAATAAAAACTCTGTGCTAGGTAGGATGTTTGTAAAAACAACCAGTGCTAGAACAGAACATTTCAATAATGCTTCTACTTCAAAATATTCGAATAAAAAAAAAAGTTGTTAAACAGTCTTATTCCAAAACTCACAACTGTCAGTGCTTAAGTCTTTTACAATTGCCGAGGAATCATATGTTAGACCATCGTTGCATTTTCTCTGAGCATGTTTATAGATATGAAAATGTTAAAACTCAGGAGAAAATGAAAAAGAAGCCCAAGCCTACAAAGGCTAAGGGCAAAGAAAAACAACCTAAGACCAAGAAGGATGATGAAAATGAGGTTGCTAAACCCCAAACTAACAAGAGAGGACCCATTATGAAATGGGTACTTAAAAAACCTTAATTTGTCTTGCACGACCAGCGTGTGCAACCATGATACATGGATTCATGTTGCTCCAGGCACATGACTGGTGATAAAAGTCAACTATCCTCCTTCATCGTAAAATCTAGAGGATCTGTGACTTTTGGAGACAACAACAAGGGTATAATCAAGGGATACGACACTCTCATCAAAGGACATATATCCATAGCAAAAGTGGCTTATGTTGAAGGCTTAAAGCATAATCTGTTGAGCATAAGTTAATTTTGTGACAAAGGTTTGGAAGTGCGTTTTCGCAAAGGTTTCTGCATCATTGAAACGAAACCGAGACAAACCATCATCAAGGCCAAAAAAGAAGGTAACCTCTATCTTCTGGACTTCCAATCTTCTGTGGGCCAAGACACTCTATGCCTCATTTCCCATAGGAGTGAGAAAAATTGGCTATGACATCAAAAAATTTCACATCTTAATTTTGAAGTCTTAAAGAAATTAGCCAAGCAGAAGTTAGTCAAAGGAATACTTGATCTAAATTTTGAAAAAGACCATCTTTGCTCGGCCTGCAAGATGGGAACATTAATACGGGCTTCTCATAAGTCCAAATCAGAAACCTCGTGCTCTAAACCGTTGGATATGCTTCGCATCGATCTCTGCGGGCCCATCTCAACACAAAGCCTATCTGGAAAGAAGTACATACTCGTACTTGTTGATGAATTTTCAAGATACATATTGGTTGAGTTTGTAAAGAAGAAATCAGAAGTTCCCGAACTCCTCATCGTAGTGATGAAAAAGCTCCAAGTCTTTCTACAATGCAAACTCATCAAAGTTAAAAGCGACAATGGAACAGAGTTCATGAATGCCAGAATCGTTGAATATCTCATCAATGAGGGTATATCTCAAAAAATTTCAACGACTAGAACTCCACAACAAAATGAAGTCGTTGAAAGACGGAACCCTCGTAGAAGCAGCAAGGACGATGCTTGCTTCATCAGACTACCAATTTCTTTCTGGGCTGAAGCAATCTCAACTGCCTGCTTCACCCAGTACAAATCAATCATTAACAAGAGGCATTAGAAGAATCCCTATGAACTCATCAATCAAAGGCGTCCAAATGTCAAATATTTCCATGTCTTTGGCTACAAATGTTATGTACTCAACGATAAAGAACATGTTGGAAAATTTGACAAGAAAGTTGATGAGGGCATCTTCCTGGGATATTCTCAAACCGCAAAGGCCTACAGAGTCTTCATCAAGCGGACCAAATTTTTTATAGAAAACATCAATGTGTCCTTTGATGATGCATCACCAATGACTTATGGACAACACATTTTAGAACTCGGGCTAAATAAACGAGCTTCTAATTCATCTCTCCACAAACCAAATGAATCACAACTAGCTCAACTGTTTGAAGACTTGTTTGAAGAAGATGCAGTCTCTGGACCTGTGACCAGTGAAAAACTAACTCCCAGAGCTGATGAACTACATGAGACCTCCAACACTAAAAGTATAACTCTTTCTGAATCTCCTATTTCTTCACCATCTACTTCTTCCATGTCTCCAGAACCAGAGCAAAAATCTGGAGAAGATCTATTTGAGGGGAGCAAGCAGTTCCATCTACCAATCCTATCAATGAAGAACTGCATCTTGTTGCTCCAGAACCCCAATCAAGTATTAAGTGGACAAAAGACCATCCTCATCATCAAATTATCAGTGATCCATCGCATGGTGTTAAAACAAGATCTGCCACAGATAATGAGTGCCTCTTCGCAAACTTCTTAAGCATGACCGAACTAAAGAAAATCTCTGAATCCTTACAAGATCCAAACTGGATAGACACAATGCAAGAAGAACTACTCCAGTTTGAGAGGAACAAAGTTTGGTCCCTCATGCCGCTACCTAAAGGCAAAACTACAATAGGGGCCAAATGGGTCTTCAGAAATGAGAAAGACGAAGATGTCATAGTTATCCGAAACAAGGCCAAGCTGGTTGCAAAGGGCTATTTCCAGGAAGAAGGGATAGACTATGACGAAACCTTCGCCCTCGTTGTTAGGCTTGAAGCTATCAAAATATTCTTAGCCTATGCAGTGCACATGGGCTTCAAGGTTTATCAAATGGATGTCAAGTCTGCCTTTTTAATTGGCAAATTGCAAGAAGAAGTCTATGTTCAACAACCTCCTGGGTTTGAAGACTCAAAACATCCAGAGTACGTCTAATTTCAGTATAAAGCTCTCTATGGGCTCAAACAAGCACCCATGGCCTGGTATGAAACTCTCTCCACTTTTCTTACAGCCAATGGATTTGAAAAAGGTACAATCGACAGAACTCTCTTTCTCAAAAGACACAAATGTGATATTTTTCTTGTCCAAATATATGTGGACAAAATTATATTTGGCTCAACTAACTCCAAATTTGGTGAAAAATTCACAGACTGATGAAAAGAAAATTTGAGATGAGTATGATGGGAGAACTAAGGTTTTCCTGGGTCTTCAAATAAAACAAACTTATAAGGAATTTTCATCAATCAGTCCAAATATGTGACTGACCTTCTAAAGAAATATAATCTCTCAAATTCATCATCTATGAGAACTCCAATGGCTACAGGAGCAAAGTTGTTCTCTAATCCATCAAGCAAGGCCAATATCTTCTACCTATGTGGAATGTATTTTTCAGTGTTCTCAATTGGGATCTCACCTGTAAACTAGGAAGCATAGACCAGGGCAACATCAACATCATGACCATCATTGTATGGTCTGTTTTTTAACCATCTGCTTGACTACGCGTTGCTCATCTACAACGAAATCCACACAGCGGTTGTCAAGAAGAACAAGCTCATGGCAGCCGGCAAGTCTGTTAAATCTGTCATCTTTCCTTGTTTCCTTGCACTCTTCATCAAGGACGTGATGAAAGTACATGATCAGTCAGGCGATGGACCTGTCACCCCCCAATTCGTAATGATAGGTCATCGCCCCACTATCTTAAAGGACGACTATCCAGATGAGAGGCCACTTTCAAGGGCAATGCTTCGAGTGATACCGGATACCTCCACAAGCTCCACGCTGGTCCAACAGCCGCGACTAGCTACCCCAGAGCATATAGAGTCTACCCCTGAAACAAGAGAGGGATCCCAAGGCGAGAGGACTCAATCCAATGATGAGTCTGATGATGATGATGATGGTAATAGTCCTCCCGCCTCCCCCGGCCCCGTTCCTACTGCTGCTGCCTCCCCACACCCAACTCCCCGTGCCACCACATCTACTATCCCTGGCGACCAAGGCCTAAGAGATATTGAAGAAGGACTGCCCACTCCGAACCCTACCCAAACAATCTATCCAGAGGCCACTCTTTAGGTCTCTGGACAAGATGAAGCCGAGGAACCCTATCATTCATCATCTCCCTCTCAACAAAGATGTGATGAAGAAATAAGGGTCCCTTCTTCTCAAGGCCCGACACT